AGAGATAAGTTACACATTTAATGCTTTTTAAATCGCACTTAGGCTGCGGTTACAACTGGCATTTTTTAATAGCAGACAGATAAAAGCTGATCAGTGAAAATTCACGTCTCGGTGACATCATAATGTATACAGATGGGTCTGTAGCGAGACTTAAGAAGAGTGGGTGGGGTTTTATTGCTAAGGTGAAGGGACACTGCTTGAAAACAGAGATTAACATCACTACATCCAATATCAGAATAGAGGTGGAGGCAGTAACGGCAGTTTTTTGATGGCTTGAGAATAGCACAGCCCGACATGTTAGAATTGTAAGAGACTCACAAGGCTTGCTTCGGAAAATTGAGACGTGTGTCCTGTGCGCAAAGTGGCTTGCATCGCACGATAAGACCCACATCAAGAGCGTATCATGGATCTTCTGTCCAGGATATTCACGTGTGCGAGGTAACGAACAGATTGATAAATTAGCTACTGCCACTCCTCTGGGTAGTGAGTTACTGTATGATAAAGCGGATGTGGTGAAGGCCATATGGGATCGAATGGACAGTGCAAAGGAACACATATGGAATTAATACACTGACATACTAATTCAAGGGGGGGGGGGGGTGTGGAGGTTCTCGAAGATATTCAACATTAAAGGGGAAACATGGATGGACTTTTAATCAGGTTGCAACTTGTACGTTTCTCAGCGTTTCCATTCTTCGTTGGTTACCAAAGAAGTGGACGGAGCACGTATGGGAATGACCCGAGTGCAGTGATGTCAATTCATGATTCATTCATTCATCAAATTGACTGATTAAATACTTACATACTAACAAATTCCAGTGAATCAAGAGGCGAAGAAAAGACGCTGTCATTGGATGAAACACACTGAGAAAACTTCAGAACTCTATAACTAGAATGTGTCTTACAAACGACCCATTTATGAAAAACTAAAAAAAAAATCGACCACGTTCAACCTACTGCGAGCAGTATAATTATAGTCTGGTTTGTTTGTGCCAATTTTGTTGTCAAGAAATGTGAATTGCACCAAAACTAGAGGATTGGAGCTGTACTCTAGTACCTAGTGGGAGTTGTTGGGGAGGGGGCTGGTATACACTATCATGGAAATAATGGCAGAGGTAAAGGGGGGGGGGGGGGGGGGGGGGGGGAAGGGGGATAACACTCGTGCGAGAAAAAGGAAGCTAAAGAGTAAACAAAGATTTAGAAGACATTGACTGAACTGTGTGTGATATAAATAGATATGAGGATATGAGTGGGTTGAGGGAGATTAGGGAAAACATGAAAAATGACCGACCGATTGACACTGTTTTGATTGCCTACCCTTGACGGATCGGGCTCATAAAAGCTGTTTCTTACATTCAACGCACGAAGTCACTATTTTACAAACAGTATTTACCATCAGTTTATGTAATCAATGCTACGAAATCGACAAAGTTTTTTTTTTTAAATAGATTAAATATAGACAACTGAGGTTTACAATTTAATAATAAACATGAAGTGCCTAACGGAAATTGTTATAAACAAAGAAGTTCCAGTAAACAGTACAATGCTTAGGTGATGTGAATATACTAGATATCTAAGTGGAGTTTTAAACACACCAACATTAAACCTAACCACAATAGACAGCTCTAGAATCACACTACAGCAGCACACGTTCTTCGCTTACCCGGATATGTGGTTTCGGGTAGCCCGATCAATGATTTCAATCGATAAACAGGATCCATAGTCATAGATTAAAGAATGCTATAACCAAGGGGTTACTGCTACACGATGGTGTTGTCAAAAGGGGTATTTACCTGCTGTCGAATGTCTGATGTATGAAAGCTGAGAATTGCAAAGCCACATACCCCTTGGATAGTATTAACCTATATATTGACAATCGCTGGCGCACTTATATACTTATGGCTACATGAGACATAAAAATACCATGGATCTAGAAAAAAAAAAAAAAAAAAACATCGACATTCTTCATGATCTAAGCATTGAGGAGAATTGGCTCGTAAACAGCATCTTTTTTTTTTTTTAACGTATCCAGAAACCATGAGTTGTAAACCCTTTGGCTCGGTACTATGGATATCGCAACCCTTCGGCCTTGATTCCATTATAGGTACCGTTAATCTGGGAGAAATGTGGCTTTTCTGCCTACCCCCGGGAGTGAACCCGGACCACAAGGAGTTCGTCACCCGGCCGCCGCGAAAGTCAGGTTTAACCAACTTCGCTAGAGAGCCGGGCATAAACAGCATCCTGTCATGACAGCTGAGGTATTTTGGCCATGTAAAACGTTATCCTGGCCTGGAGATAACGGTGATGGAGGGTACAGTTTCCGCAACACGAGGCAGAGGCAGACCTCCTCAAATATGGATACAAGACATTGAAGATACATTGGCTGTCAAAGCACATGGGGCTGGAGAACTGGCCAGAGCAAGAGACACTTTCAAGCAAGCCGTGACGAGAGCAATGTTCTGTAAAGGAAATGTTGATTCATGATGAGATAAGACATACAAATTCGGCATTACAACATCGTTATTATGGGCTATCTTCGCGGCATTTCAGACATGTCCAAATGTACTCAGAGGGTTCCTGGCCACTACAGTGTGTTTCGTCTCTACATTGCGCTGCATGCTACTTTGTAATCGTTAGGGCGCCGAGCATGTGGTAACTGCAATGGACTCAAAAAGCACACTTTGGAAAACAGAACAGATGCTGGACAGTTTGACATCATGGCATGGAAGAACACCTGTGTCAAAGTTGATTGAAAGACACGAGACAGAAGGTCGTGGATAGACATTTTTTTTTTTTAATCGATCGCCGGCTGTGAATTCCAGTGGAAGGTCCCGGTTAATCGTCCGCTTGGACTTTTGGCTTTCACCTGGACCTGATTTTTGCGTGTACAACCGTTTTTCATTTCCCTGCCTCATGGGCAGCTGTACTCCGACTTCGAAGGAAGACGTCAGGCCTATTTCTAGGTTGACTGTGGCCATTGTTTTGTGTGGGTCGAGACGTTGCCTGATTTGTGTGGTGTCCACTTTGACTCCTCCGCAGGTATTGCCCTCGGAGTACCCCTTTGGGGCAGCCCCCTGTGGAACAGTTAGCCCTCAAGGGAAGGCAGGGGCAGATCATGGGCATTCCCGCCATCCAAGGAGGCTTCCATGCATGCAGAGCCGGCACATAGTGCTCTGGTTCTGGGCTCACCCAAGGAGTCGTCACGTCCTGCACATGCCTGCTTAACCTCACAACCGTATCAGGCTTCCCGCTCGACAGGGGCTGCGCCCTCTGGAAGTCAGCGGGGAGCAGCCCGTGGGTTTTGGACTTTTGTGACCACACAGATAGGTACATTCTTTTTTTCTTCTTCGCACGTTAGATTTCTTTGACGAGCCGTTAGCCCGACAGAATTTTACATCCTGCATCAAGCATATCGTTATCAGTTTTGTCCCAACACTCGGGCAAGTGGGGTCTTTGGGTGTGGACATTCGGTCTTTTTCAGTTCAATACAAATTTTGATGGTCAGATTTTGATCCGTATGATCTAGTTTTGTCGGACAATTAGGATGGTTGCTGTTGTGGTGTACCTCAGCGCGGTGTCGACGACACTGAGGGTTAACCGAGGATGTACATGAATGGCCAGCCTATGGATGGTTGCTGTTGTGGTGTACCTCAGCGCGGTGACGACGACACTGGGGGTTAACCGAGGATGTACAAGGATGGCCAGCCTACGGATGGTTGCTGTTGTGGTGTACCTCAGTGCGGTGACGACGACACTGAGGGTTAACAGAGGATGTGCAGTGAACAATGTTCTCTTTACTCCGCAGTCTTTTAACCAAGGGTTGTAATTTTGGCTATACGTTTGGCAAACCTACTCATGTTCCTAATGAGTTTTGATAACATTTTTCACCCAAGCGTTTGGGGGCGGGCTGATGAGAGCCACAAGGACACATCACCTCTGGGGGCCGCCGAACTCCGAGATCCCCTGACAGCTCTGTTAATGCTCATTTGAGACATTATCCGTGGCGCACGACGAGGACGTGCTGTAGGGGTCTTGCGTGAGGTTCCGTACAACCAGGATAGTTAAGGACTGGCGCCCGAGTGACGTACGGAGTATCTCCTTATACACATCATGTTGGACTTAACTTCCCCCTCACGCCTGTGACATAAATCACCGCGCCACCTTTATAGACATGACTACCAACACCACCCGGCAAGGACTCTAAGAAGAATACGCCAAGGAGACGATGATGAGGCAAACCGGGGAGGGGGGGGGGGTGGCGCTGTTAGACCCTTCACATTTGTTTCTTAATTTAGGGAAGAGTGCAGAACCCCATCCCTCCCCTCCCCCCGTCCCCCGAAAAAATGTAAGGTAGAGTGGAGGGGAAAGGTCTCGGCGTTGACAATGCACAAGACGCAGACACCTGACTGAGCGTTCACTTGTTTTTTATCTCAACATTTGTGCTCCTATGCCAAAGTGAAACCTGACGTGCCGCCACGAAGAAAACGTGTGTGGGGGGAGGGGGGGGGGGGGGGGGGGCTTCGTGATTCCGAAATACCCGGTTCGATTCCAGCTGCAGGTGATTCGAAAGCAGACTGGTTTACGCTGACTGCAACAGTGGTATGGACCACTGATAGTTTCGCAAGAAATGATAAACTAGTACGTAAAATTATCCAGGAAAACCACAAAACGGCTGAAAATGATGGGCATGGTTCTGTGAAAGGTACGCAACTACTAATAACAGAGTGCACATGCGGTCTACAAGAAATGAAATGCCAGTTTGCATATCACTGAAATTATAAATTAACAGTAGTGTGTCGGTACTTGGCCAATGAAATACTAATGAAAATACCATGCAATTTAACAGTTGAACATGCAAAATGAAATATATTTCGATCGCTTCGATAGACAAGAATGTTAAAGAACAACAATAATAATAAAATGAAAACTTGTTCGCAAATTCAATTCGACTGCAAATGCGCCGTAACTCCAATTTACTTCCTTCGTCCACGAAAAGAAACATGGCTGAGGCAATGCGAGCAACCGTGGCTTCTCTGTTAAAAGGAATAGATAGGTAAACATGTTGTTAAGTGAAACTGGAGTTGTTTACTACGGTCTACTGCTTTCAAAGTAATTGACATGAGATATCACAGTGTTAGCTGTTGAACTTTAATTCACTTCATATTTAGATTCGCTGTCTTTTTCAAATGACCAGGATTTTTGTACCGGCTTGAGCCTGAGCCTTGAATTTGATCATGATCATTTATTTTACGAGATTTCTGAATATTATTGATTTGAAAGTTTCCCAGTGATGCACATTCCTTACATAAGGAAATGACATGTATCGGCTCTCCTTTAAATAACGGTCGCTAGCTGGAAGGCGACGGCCGCTTAGTCGGAGTTCACTCTCTTGGCTGCAGTGCAAATACAGAGCGGACAAGTCACGAATCAGAAAAGAAAGTGAGGTCGACATGCCTGCTAGAGCTAGACCACGCACTGCGACTGACAGTAGCAACCGCGGTCTTGTGGCGCAAGACTCACGTAGACCACACGCTGCGACTCACATTAGTGACCGCGTTCTTCTGACGCACGACTTAGTGACCGTAGATGTGAGACCTGCGGATCTGTATACTGTATGTCGTAATGAGCGATAAGCTTCTGTCGTTTCCGTGATGTGTCACCCTAACCCTAACCCAACCCCAAATCCTAACCAAAGCCCTAAGCCTAACCCTAGGATGACAGGTAACTATATCAATATCATTTGTTTCGTTCCCTCTTTACCACTCCATATTTGCACTGCAGCCAAGGGAGTGAACTCGACTAAGCGACTGCCCCCTTCCAGCTAGCGACCGTTATTTAAAGGAGAGCCAATAATAAATATGGCACATGATGAATGGTCCAAGTGACTAACTTTTTTACTTAGTAATAGTAATACTATTTATTACTAAGTCAAAAAAAAAAAAAAAAAAAAAAAGAAACTTGGACCATTCATCGTGCGCCGTAATTGTTTTTTTTCTTTTCAGCAACTCAACTAACTTTCAGTTCTGGATGTCTCCCAATGTAGTACTATTTAGTTCACTGTTAACCATTATCATCTTGTTGTGCTGTGTATAGAACTAGTAGTGAAACAATGTTATCTCAAATACCTTCTGATTTTCGCCACCATGAACTTCATGAGGAAGTGGTAGGGTGCAAGGCAACTGTTCCAGTGACCCCAGGTTCTATACCGACTGTAGCAGGAGGAGGGTTGCCCATGTCTAGCAGGACAATTGAGAATAGGAGTCGCAACAAAAACCTGATGCCCTGTAAGAGGACTTGAAACAGTCGAAGGGAAGGCTAGAGAGAAAACAAACCTGAAAAGATGATTGTCTGACTTGTCAAAATAATTGGATATGCTGAGCTATATACTAGATTTTTAAAAAAAATGCAGTGTATCGCTTCACGATGATCCTATCTCAAACCAGTGGTGTAAATTGTTGCACCACGTCCTTTGACTTTTTTCCCCCCCACATATCAGCACCTGTTGTCGAGTGTGTATGGAAAGTTTACTGATTGGTATAAACATTTTTAAAAAAATGCTTAAGTCAGGAGCATCAACTTAATTGCTCTAGGTTTTTATCCCAAAATCTACAATATATTAAAATTAGCTATTTAAAAATATGCATGCTTGTGGCATGAGATCATATTATTATTCTTTCTTCATTGTTTCATCTTTGCGTTCACTGGCTGTAAACTCAGACCGCCCGTTCTGGTGTTCGTCCACTTTTGGACTTTGGTATTGTTCCAAACAAGAACTAAACAGGCTCCAGTGGATCAGGAAGTGAGGAAAAGACGCTGGCGTTGGATAGGGCACACACTGAGAAAACAGAAGAACAGCATTACTAGAATGTCTTTGCATTGGAACCCACAGGGGCATAGGAATAAAGGAAGGCCAAAAAACACATGGAGAAGAGAGCTGGAGAACGAGGTTAGAAAGATTGGGAGGACATGGGGATAGAACGACTTGGCGTGAGTTGGTTGAGGGCCTATGCTCCATTGGGGGATAGAAAGGCAGAAGAAAAGAATTGTTCCAAACAAGTTTTGCATCCACATCCATTTTATAAATTTTGCTTAGCCTTATTTGTATGCAATATGCAGACTGTTGGTTCATTGCCTCTCAGGCAGATGCACGCTAAAGGAAAAACTCCCTAAATAGTCTTCTATGACATGTTTATTATGGGTGCAGCAACACAACACATAGACCTCACTCCCCAATGATGCCATGAAACCCACGGGGGTGGGGAGGGGGGTGTAATAAATTAATCTGGTCTCTTATTACTTGTGTAATTTTATTTATTTTCAAATATTAATAGGTATAATCCGGAGAATTTGCCGACCTTGGAGAGATATGTGGACATGCAAGCTAAAGACAACACATACGATCTGGAGGCAAACTTAGCTGTTCTAAAATTGTGAGCACATCTTGTAACTTATGTCCATTATCATGTACAGACACAGTGACTAATTGTAATTTGTATACACTTCAACTTTTATGAACCTGTTTTCTGTTTGTATGTTTGTCTCGCTCTGCCTTGAGTGTTGATCAGATTCCCTTGTTATTCTTCACTGCCCCATTCTGTGCAGACTGATTTATTTGTGTCTGCGCACTGTTTACTTACTTCCAAGAGCCCTTACAGCATCTAGATTGTCATGCATCAAGTTACCACCAAGTAGTTCAGAACCAGCCAGTCTGTCTGTCTGTTCATTTTCCAGCACACCAGCATATCTGGAGAAAATATCCAAAGAATGCTAACTTCCCAGTACCTCTGAAGCAATGATTGCCACTCTGCATGGACCATACCAGTCTATGACCGGGTGACGAACTCCTTGTGGTCCGGGTTCACTCCCAGGGGTAGGCAGAAAAGCCACATTTCTCCCAGATTTACGGTACCTATCATGGAATCAAGGCCCAAGGGTTGCGATATCCATAGTACCAAGCCAAAAGGGTTAAGAACTCATGGTTTCTAGATATTTAAAACAAAACAAAAAATTCCAGCACTCATGGTTTCTGGATATTTAAAAAAAAATATTTCAGCATGCTGTTGGATTCGGTCACAATCATGACATCTGTTTGCAGCTGGTTCTCAAGCCAGCAGGAGGTTGCAGTGACTGCCTCCATCTCAATTCTCAAACTGGATTAGGTATGCAGGGCTTTGTTGCACTAAGCAATATCTATTCACTCTTACTGCATGGTGTCTTGTTGACTAATAGTAATTCAGCCACATTAAACACCACATTAGGTTCAAAAGATCAGTCATGACAGGCATAGGTCATGGAAGGCAAGGCAAAAGTTGAACAGCCCACGGTAGAAATGGGAATTAAAGATGTGCAGGGCATAACAGTTCATAAAGCTGGAAAACAGGCAGTGGAGCTGCAGTCCGCAAATGATGTTATAGGTGGCGATGGTGGCTTTTACCAGCATCAACCCTTTTGCCTGGAAACACGAAAGAAAAGGGCAGCGGGCTCCCTGGGAATTCCTTCTATAAAAAAATCCTTAAACAAAACAAAAAAAACCATTTGCATAAGTCACTAATGCATTTTAGATATTAAAAAAAAATTTATTTGATTAATTTTCATTTAAAAATTGTTGTTGAAATATATACAGGAAGTAATAAGTAAACATGAACAAGGTGAGGCATCATATGGAATACTTTCGGACGGGACCTAAACAAATGTTTTGAATGACTTATGCCACGACCTCTAGCACTAAAAATTATAAATAAGTCCCAAAGATAATTTCTGTAATGGTGGACACAGTCACATTGTATACAGCATTTGGTCAAATATTCAGCCACTGCTGAAATTGATCTACTTATATTTAGCCTGCTCCCAGACTTCTGCTCTTTCTCATCAAGGGGAGTATAGGTCCTCAGTCAACTCAAACGCCAAGTCCTACTGTCGTTTGCTAGCACATGCAGCCTACTCTGTATCCTCCACATCCTTATTAACTTCACTTTCTAGCTTCATTTGTGTTTTTGGTCTGACTTTATGTCTGTGCCCCTGTGGGTTGCAGTGAAAAGACATTCTAGTAATATTCTTGGGTCTTCTCAACATGTGTCCTATTCACCACCAGCCTTTTTTTTTCTCTATCTCTTGATTCACTGGAAGAGGAGTCAAGTAGTTAAAGTTTCTACAGAAAACGAATGTATTTGGCCAAAAGGCAACTACCTGTAAGCCCCAACACAATGTGCCAGTTGCCATTTTAAGGACAAGTGCACAAGAAAAAATATCACTGTGGAATACAAATGTTTACAACCTTTTCCATGCTTAGACATCTTTGATTTTCTTTGTTTGAACCTAATAGACACACAGATATATCATGCTGCTTTACTTGCATTACAGGTATCAGTTTAACCCCAGTTTGTATCAGACGGGAGTGACGGCAATGATCCTTCTCAAAGCTCTGACTAACCTGCCTCATTCTGACTTCATTCTGTGCAAGTGTCTCATTGAAACCCACAGAGTAGGTATCCTGTGTCAGATCTGTTAGTATGACATTTCTAGATGTGGTGGAAGAACGCTAAACATCCTTAGACGGCAAAATTTTTTTTTTTTTAAAGAAACGAAGACAGCTTACCATGAATAACAGAATTAAAGGGTCACCGTTTATTGCTACATTATAATAAAAAGAATGAGACTTTGGCAGTTGGTTTTCATGACATGGAGGTGTGTTTGCACATGAAGTGATACTTGCTGTTAATCGCAAGTCGTGGAGAGGCATGATGTTGATAAGTTTATCCTGGAAATTACTCTAAGACAGAGCTATTCAACTTGCAGGCTAAATGTGGCCCATGGACCATTGCCAGTATGTTGTATTAGTTTTCTTTCTGTGCTAGTGCTGGACTTTTTGCCCGCCACAATCCCTGTTTTCAGTATTTTGGCTCCTGAGTTAACTTATCTGAAAAGCCCAGTTCTGAGAGCTTTGTTTGTTTCTGAACTCCCCAATCAACCTAGCCTAAATTTAGTGCTAGGAAATGTTCTTGGAAACAATGGACTCTGCTGGTCATCTTAGCATTCACTGGCTGTAAGCTGCGGTAGAAAGCTCTCATTGTTTGTCCAATTTTGGACTTTGGTCTTGTTCCGGAACTTGAGTTTTGTGTGTACATCCATTTGAGAAATGTGGCTTATTTGTGTGCAGACTGATGGTTCCTAGCCTCTCAGGCAGATGTACTGTGACTTTGAATGGAATGCACCTAAATAGTAGACTTTTAAAACATGCCGCCTCTACCCTCCTGAGACACCAGAGCCTACATGGAATATGTCAAGGAGGGGGGGGGGAGATTTTAAATTTATGATACTTTAGTTTCCCACTATACAATACAACATTAAGCTGTGAATGTAAATGGGTAACTACTGCATTTTGTATGCATCAATAATAGACTTAATATGCTCAACCATTTCTGTTTACTGCAAGTTGATTACATGCTATGAACATCGTTCTACTTACTGTTTAGTCAGGCCTAGTAATATCTGTCCTCAATATAAATGCTAGTAAATAAATTTTTTTCAATCTTCTTTCCTGGCAGTTGACAGAGGAACTTGTGTCGAAGGTGCTGCGACTGGCACATTTTCTGGAGACAGCAAACTTTCAGCAGTTTTGGGTAAGTTAGATCCTGCCCTTCCCAATGTGTTATGGATCATTAGCATACGTGTCAAGAACTTTGCTTGGGAAGGCATGGCACAGGGTATTCGCTGTCTGTTTTGGGCTTATAATTCGGCTGGCTGGTTCTCACAAATTATTTGTTACCAGTTATCCCCTGATCTTTTGGGTCATCAAATTGAGTACCTGGTATCTTATGCAAAGCTGGGAAACATAAGATACTTGTTGTTTGTTCACTCCAGACTTACTTTTTAAGTCTTTTTCCAGAACTTGAATGTTGCCTGCACAACCGTTTTACAGGTCTGGCTTTTTTGTATGCAAACTGTTGGTTCCTTGCCTGTCATGCAGATGCACTCTAACTGCAAAGGAAACCGCTAGTTATTTGACTCTTATGGCATGCTTGTTAGGGAGGGAGAGGGTCTGTTCTTGTTTTCCCTGTAATGGGGTCCCAGGACCCACACAGGGGTTCTTATGCACAAAATGCACACATTAAAAAGTCAAAGTATTGATTTAAAAAAAAATAGCCGTGGGGTCCCATAGCCAAACAGAAAAGCAGGTCACTTTTTATAACTGCTAAAACAATTGTTTTATATGGTTGAATAGGGTGTCTAGGATATGTTCCTGTTGGATTGGCATCCAAGTAGTGGCTCTTTGAGTCACCATGTGTCAAGTTGCAGTCCCAGACGGGGAAATACTAAATGAATGAGACTGCTGCTGTATGAAAATGTCGGGTTGAGAAGCATGCCCATGGATAGGCAGAACCCATTATGTTATAAGTGTTTGTCCAGATGCGGTACATATTGCACAGATTGTTGCAGTGAGATATTTCTGTGTTGTGTACATCTCTCAAAATATGTTACAGGCAAGAGGATTTACTTCATTGCACTGGTCTTTAACCCATATGCCTCAGTCTCCACAGAACAGCTAACTGCCTGCCGAAACCGTGACACAAAGCACAAACTCCACATAGCTCCAGTGATGATCCCCTGGGATATCCCTAAAATTACACTTGTGAACTAAACATTGATGCTGTGAAATGAACCCAAGACAGTTATGTTGTCCACTTTGCCACGGAGGCCTCAGTCATAATATTTACACATCCCTAATGCATTTGCTTTAACTACCACCATGATGGTATAAACTGCTTCCTGAATTTTCTGTTGAGAAAAAATGACTACTTTTGATTCCTTGGGAACAGATATCCATTCTATGCCAGGTGTAAAATGTTTTAGAAGACATATCCTTGGCTAACCTCAACCTCGCTTGAACCTGTTTCCCCCCCCCATACTCTACCTGGTTGTTTGTGTATGATGTAGACAATGTTGGTGCTTGTTCACTGCTCTGAAATTGACAAATCAGACTAATCAATTGTTGGTCATTAAAGGGATGTTAAACAATCTTATTCCCCTACGTGGAGTGTGTGGACCGTCCCAAGTTAATGGGTGTTGCAACATCATTCATTTTTAGCCTATTTTGTTTTGTGTTTCAATAACCTGAAGTATTGTGTTTTGAAATAAAAACAGGTGTCATTGATGGATGACCCCGACCTTCTCATTGGTATTATTGGCTTTGAGGACTCCATAAGGAAATGTAAGTTTTAGATTTTGTCTGTGTATCTCTCCAAATCATGCACTTTGAACATATTTGGCTGTCTCCTTTGACAATTACGTTTTCTTCTTCTTTGCGTTGACTGGCGGAAAGTGTTGGCTGTTTGTCCACTTCTAGACTTTAATCTTGTTCCAGAACTTGAGCATTGCATGCTTTTCCATTTTACAGATCTAATATATTTGTGTGCAGACTGTTGGTATCTCACCTCTCAGGCAGATGTACTGTCTTCGAAGGAAACATCTTTATTAAAATTTCTTCCATGTCGGGGGTTGAGACAGATAGGTGCGACCTCTTGTCCAGACACTCATAGTTACTCCATTCCTGTGCCAGTGGAAGTAACACAAAATGTTCCTATATTGTCCCATTTGAAAACTGAAGTTAGTCCCAGAAAATCCAGAAATTTACACATGCAGTAAATGCATAAGGCTGTACATTGAGATACCAAGAGTCGCCTTCAGAATTGCAATTTTTAATTGATACACTTGCGTAAAATAAATAGTTATGATGAGCTGGCTGTACACACAAAAAATTATTTATTGCATAAAAAGTAACTGTTTTGTCTAAATGCAAACTGGTTACCTGAGAGTTTCTTAATATCACAACACAAATGAAAGGCACTGCACATGACATACAGCTAAATAGCTTAGCCAGTAAAACTTTAGACTGCAGTCCATGTGTGGAAACTAAAGGTTGTTGCATATCTTTTACAGGACGTTGCAGAACCAATCCCAACAGTCCCTGACTGTTGTGTGGTTTTTCTAGGCAAATTTACGTCCAGTAGTTTGACATTGCTTTCTGGACGGTAGGCTTTCTTGATACCACTGTCAAAACAAATGCGCAGGCGCATGGCCCTCAGTTTGGATCGATCCCGGCATTACGAAGCGTTTGCATCGACTTAGCCACAGAGCCGACGTGTGGAAACTACATGAGCAAAATATTGCTAGAAGCAAAAAAAAAATAACTTCAGAGCTAAATGTGCCAGCCTGCCATATTGGTCGGGAAGTTCATATTATTCTACCTTACAACATATTGAAAGCTCCAGTACTGCTGTCCCACTGTTTACACATTTGTCTGTGTTTCTATGTAGCATACATAGCCTCAGTCAGAGCATCAAGAAGTGGGGTGGCTGCTTGTCCTTTTAATGCCAGAAAACTGATTCAGTTTTATTTAGGTTCAACTTTAGAACACTGTTCCTTGAAAAGTTCTGTACCAGGTAGATGATGTACAAAGACAAAAAAGCACCCTTTCACTCCTTGAAGCAATCTTCCCCATGCAGGTTCCAATGCCCCCATTGTTTAGGATGAAACAAGCAAGGTGTGAAACAAAATAAATTAAGGATTTGCTGAAGTTCGATATGTTGGGCTGAAATGCAGAGATATTGCAGCCGAGCTGTAAGTCACAAAGTGTGACCCCTGCACTTTAAAGGGCAAATAGAAAAAAAAAGAAGGCCATGTGGTGTGTTGGATACATTGTCCTGTTGCTATCTTTTTACTATTACTGACCAGCTTCACCTTGCATATTTCGGATGGAAAAGCTCAGGCCAAACAAAATCCCTGCCCTGAAGGATATTAAAACACATGATCACTGGGCTAACATGTGAGTGTTCTAATACTACACTACCACAGCTGCCCCTGTAATTTTAAATATACTATTTGCCAATATCGCCAGATGTTGATGTAGTTGTCTCAGTTGTCTGCCATTCATCCACATCAGTTGTCAGTTGCTGGGAAATATTTCTGTCTGTATATAGCGTCCACACCTACCTCTAAATGTTCCGCGAAGGACAAACTTCGACAGTTGCTGGGAAATATTTCTGGTCTGTATATAAATATTGTTAAACCTAAACGAAAGTGTTAAAAAAAATTGTTTATTAAGAAAGGTGTGTAGAAATGTAAACGTGATAGACGAAATGTTACTACCCCAAAACTGTCGTTTGGTCACCATTTGCTAATCTCCCTCCCCCGTCGGAAGCAGTAGATTTGATGGACTTTAGAAAGCATTGACTACATAAAAATGCTGTTTGAAAAAAAAAAATTGGCCTGTACATGTCGAGGAGGTAGTAATTATTACATATATTTTTCTCAAGCTGTGTGCAGTGAAAACAAGCCTGTGCCTTTCTTCTTCAGCGCTCGCCTTTAAATGGCACATTGTGTTTACATCTTGTCTGTGATATCTGCAGCTTTTAGCCCCACCTATCTCATTTCAAAACATTCCTAATTCATCACATTTTATGACATGCATATTCATGAACAGTTATGTTATTTAGGCCCCAGAAACCCAGTTGTTATAATTCCTTTATCAGCCAAAGTCCCTTTAATCTTTATTAGCAACTTCCATTGCATTAAACAGCTTTTATAAATGTGTCTGTTTGTGATGCACAGATACCCAAACCAGCCAGTGGATCAGCAAGTATGGCTGGACGGAACAGCTGGATGGCTACGTGTTCATCACAAGCCAGGATGAGAACATCAAAACCAAGAACATCACAGAGAAAATCTCATTTGATAGTAAGTCTTCGTCTGTTTTCTGAACTCTTTTAGTCCATATACAGTTGTTACCTTAAATATATATTCTGTTGAGAGTTAAGTAATCACATTTTGAGCAGAAAAAAATGAATCTGTTTCAGTAGAGTGAACTATGGTAGCAAGTGGATGAAACAGGAGTTGCTGGGTAGCCTATGAAATTATGGTCCTAATATTGAACACCACATAAAGTTAGCTTATAATTAGACCTTTCAGTATCTGAAGGTTCTTGCAGCATATGCCCAGTAGAAGAGATAACCACTGTATTATATATGTGCACAGCATTGGCCAAACATTTAAGGTCATATATATATATATATATATATATGTATATATATATATATAATATATATATATCTATATATGTATGTATATATATATATATATATATGTATATATATATATATATGTATGTATATATGTATGTGTATGTATGTATGTATGTGTATGTATATATGTATGTGTATGTATATATGTATGTGTATGTATATATGTATATATATATATATATATGTATGTGTATGTATGTATATATGTATGTGTGTATGTGTATGTATGTATATATGTATGTATATATGTGTATGTATGTATATATGTATGTATATATGTGTATGTGTATGTATGTATATATGTATGTATATATATATGTATATATGTATGATCTTTTCTTTCTGTTATGCCGTTTTAGGACCAGTAAAATCAATCAATGAGGTCACCATTCTCTCCTAAAATAGCAGTGATGCAATACTCTGTAACAGTGTAGAACATCGGTTCACAGTCTGTGGGTCACACCCCTTTTGTGGGTCGAATGAGCCTTTCACAGGTGTTGCCTAACACCATCAGAAAACAAATCATTTAGTAGGTGGTCTGAAACTTTTGGCTACCACTGTATGCAGGAGGAATCACATCTTTAGTATGCTATGGCCACATATAACAGATTTCAATCTTTTGATAGAAAAGCTGCAGAAATGAAAGATTAGAAAACCTATTTCACAGCCTCTGAGATTCAAGGCAGAAAGAGGCAGTTGTATTTTTCTAGGGCTTACAGCCCTGCAAAAAAAAAAAAAAAATATCCTCCAAAAGATTTGTCATGAACACAGATTATTGTAAGAAAAAGAACGGTGACAGGCAGAGTGTAGTAGTGTGCACATATTGTGCTTTTAATGCGAGTGTGTGCTAGATTTGCTGAGACAACAGTTTGTCAGTCTTTGCCACAAGGGACTGTGATAAACATTCTGTGTTTTTCGTTGGCAAAGGTGGGGTGACCCGTTTGCTATGAAGCTGAAATTAAAATTACCAGATTACCAGTGTGCACATACAAAATGTTAGTATAGTTTGACAGTGGTTCCGAGAGATAGACCATGTACTGTAACTGTTTAATTAGTGTATATATATATATATATATATATATATATATTCAATATTTTGCAGGTGTTGCTGCTATCATGGCAGCAGGGCGATGAAACAAGTACAGATAAGATAGTTACTAGCTGTGTGTATGAACTGGTTGCTGTTGTCAAAAGACTCATTAAAGCTACATGGCACATACAGCAGTGTTGTTTTCATTGTGTTACATTCTCAAACAGCACATACAAGCTCTGAGAGTCAATTTAGTAGTCGTGGGTGGGTTTTTGATAGCATTTAATGAACAACATTTGTGATGTTTAATTATATATTTTTGTGTTCGATTAAGTCAGATTTCACTTTCATTTCAAGTTTGAAGTCCACCAGACATGCTTAGGAAGTATCACAGCTATTGTGAACACCAACATTGTTATATTCCATTGATCATGATACTGACAAAGTCTGATGAAAAGTCATTCTGGTGACAAAAGATTCTTTTTGGGACACCATGTATTTCTTCCGGTGTGTTCATTATGTCCCTTTTAGTTGAACGAAGGAAGCTGACAAGCTTTTTAAATTAAAGTTGTTTACTGAAATTTTGTGACACCCGAGTCTTAAGAGGCAGCCACTCCAACTCCCTAACAGGTAGGCTGAACTCGGAAAAAGCACAAAGTCCGCTTCAAAGATTCTGAGTGATTAGATTTTGTGCAGGTGAGTTTAGTACAGCATGAGCTGGTTAGACTTCGGGCAGCCTTGATTGGAGACTGAAACCATTTGATCTTGAGAAGTATATTGCTGTTATTCAAATGATACTGGTTGGGTGCTCAAGCCAGTTAATCTTGACAAGGATATCACTGTAATTCAGATGATACTGGTTGGGTGCTCAAACCAGTTAATCTTGACAAGGATATCACTGTAATTCAGATGATACTGGTTGGTTGCTCAAACCAGTTAATCTTGACAAGGATATCACTGTAATTCAGATGATACTGGTTGGGTGCTCAAACCAGCTAACCTTGACAAGGATATCACTGTAGTTCAGATGATATTGGTTGGGCGCTCAAACCAGTTAATCTTCATACATGTCCACTGCTAAGACCTGGATAATCTTGACTTGTGATGATAACCAAGGTCTTGACTGAAACCACTCGACTTTGGATGGTGAGACTGCACCGTTGAGCTTCAGACAATTCTTGCCCAGAACGGTCGTCCCTGTCCAACCAAACAGAATTATACCTCATTCTGGGTTCTCCGTCTTTTGCCTTTTGCTGCCTGTTAGTAGAATGATAAAAGTGATAGTTATTGGCAATAGGTTGTGTAGAATACTAAAATAAAATCAAGCAATTATACTTTTGATACAAAAATAAAGAAAGAAACCATTATCTGATACTGTGTTTATATTGCTTGACTAATAATGACCATGATGCTAAATATTTTTATAGAAATCGTCAATTGATGTGGTCAGTATCACGCCGGCCGCCTTTACTTTCCCGACTGCACCCAGTAACTCAAGGTGGGTCGACCTGGGAGCCAAAGTCTTTTGAAATGTCCGGCTCTGCCAGGGAGCAAACCCACGACCTTCCGATCCGCGGGGAGCGTCTAGCCGCTCGGCCACGGCGACTCCCTGTGTTTTTATTGCTTGACTAATAATGACCCAGATGCAAAAGAAATGTCAATTGAATGGTTGAACCCTAAGGTATTCTTGTGTCAATCTGAACAGTTTCACTCATCAAACTACAAAGATTTTTAGTGTCAAAATTATGTTCCTTTTGTTGATAGCTGAGCATTTTAAAAAAAGTGATAAACCTGCAATTTTTATGTCATCATTAATTGGTCAGTGGAGAATGAAGTGAGAAAAGCAACAACAAAATTCATTGTTTCAAACATCATTAATTACCTTTTCTGTTACTTACATTTAAACTAGGGGCTATCTTGGTCAGCTGCACAAGAAACAAAATCCTATGCTAACATAAATGGAAACTGGAATGAATTTGTGATGTAGAAATTTGTTTTATAGGGAGCAGTCTTGGTGTAGTTGTCTGAGGACTGGGTTCAGGTCTTGATGGTACCGGTTTTCCTTTTCAAACATGACCCAGTCTTAAATGGGTATTAGGTGAAGTCCTGCAAAGTAAGGGCAGCTCACATGATGTTGACCACAACACCCAATGAGTGCCAACTGGTCTATAAAGTATAGGTCCAGCCCTATATACCCATTGGGTCATAAGGCGTGATTTTTTAAAAATTACCTTTACACACTTTTTTTTAAAACCTAAGCTACAAACCATTCAACAACCACGACTTGGTAGAGATAAGGAATTCCCCCCAAAATTATAGAAATAATCTGCTATAATTTTTTATGAATGAAAACATAGTTAACAATAGTTACCTGGTGACTTCCCAAATCCAACTATATGTGTCTTCCGTTTCTTTATCAATGGCTCATCTGTAACATGAGATAGATACAACGGTATAACATTCAAACAAATATACATCATCTTTAGATATTCAGTCTTTGAAGTTCACTGATGATATCCGCCAGCAATTTAGTGAATTCAAGTAATTGTAGGTCTGAAAATAATATCTCCCATCTTCTTGATCTGTCTTGTGGTTTAATCCCATCCAACTTTTTTGTGGACAGTGTTTCTGTCTGCTGTCATTCTCTCTATAAGCCACAACCATGTCAGTAATTTATTAGTCGCAAGCTGTAATCAGCCAACCTATGGCAAAAGATGTTTCGCCCTTTTTAGGACGAAATTTTTTGTTATTTGAAGCCCCACCCTGGCTTTTGCCAGGGGCTGCAATATAGGCATGCCATAAATATGGCCAATTGTCTAACCGCGGTTTCTGGGACCTCTCTACGGCGATCCTCATCCACATGGTGGCACTTTGTGTCATCGGGTGTTTATCGCTTGTGTGATGTCCTGGTGGGGTAGAAAGTCAGTCAGTCATGTCATTAATTATTAGTGACGATTTTAAACAGATTATTCCCCATTGTGGGAATAACAAGAATAGACCCACTGCCTCCTCGACGAGCGTGTCGTAGGAGTCGACTAACCGAGGGCTTAGTTTTAAGTCGGAGTGCATCTGTCTTAGGGGCAATAAACAACCAACTGCACACAAATAAGCCAGTAAACCGGATCTACATGCAAACCTCTGGACCTAGCACAAAGCCAAAGCCCAAATAGACATACAACCAGGACTTTCCGCTGGAGCCTACAGCCAGTTAACAAAGAAGAAGAGATTATGAATACACTATAGCAGTTTGACATGCAGCAGTGTATACAGGTGGTTTGGAAAGAACAGTAACAGAAGGTCCCAAAAGAAGAGGTAAGGGTCAGTCAGTGTGAGGGCGGGCACAAAACTAAGACACCATAGGCATGAAAATACTTTAGTTGGACTGAGTCTTTTCAGCAGACTGATGACAGCAAAGGACAGTAACATAATTAACAATAGGTGCTTGTTGCATACAGTGTGTTTTATTCAATCAGCTTTGGAAGAAGCAACCATCTTCTGATGTTAATTAAATCTAAGAGAAGTGGCTAGAACATCTGGATCTAATGCGAAGTAGAATTCTCTTTAGGACGCTATGTTTTTTTCCTCTGGCAGGGCAAAAATAAACTGATGTGAGTGTCATACAGATCCTATGTCGACTCCCTGTAGACTAATCTATTTCATAAGACTGTGTAAACAGCAACACTTCAGAGTAATTACTTATTGTATAACAACATCGTCGACTCTGTGGCTAAGTCAATGCGAACACTTCGGGATGCCGGGTTTGATCCCAGCTGCCGGCAATGCGTTGGTTTCGACAGTGGTATCAAGAAAGCCGACCGTCCAAAAAGCAATTGCAAACTACTAGACGTAAATTTGCCTAGAAAAACCACACAACAGCCAGGGGTTGTTGGGGTTGGTTCTGCAACGTCCTGTAAAGGATCTGCAACTAACCTTCAAATAACAACATCAGCATGCAATCAGTGTAGCCGGATAATAACCAACAGTTACCTAAATGAAGCAGCACATCCCGTACTATGCGTTTGTTCCACAGAAGTGTTCCTGGCTGACACACCCCAGTAGCAGACACGTCCAGATCAAGATCTTTGAATACCACATTTGGCCACCAATCTCTTCTGGTCTCCCAGCATAGCTTCAAGACATCCTCTAAATTATTGCTGCAATGTAAACAGTGTCATTAAATACTTCCATGAACTCCTTAGTAAACAAATATCATTGTAACTGGGACAGAGGCCAGTTCGGAATCATGAAGTAAGAATCGTGAATCATCACGCTTGTACCAGTTGACCTCCAGCGCAAAGTCAGTGTGTGAACGTACAGCTTGTTCACGCAATAAGCCGTGCCCAGTTTAGAGGCCAGGTCGAGTTCACTCAGCCGACACGGAGTGCTACGGATTTTGCTATGAACTCGGGAGGAAATACAAAAGGCTTGGTCCAAGCGGATTTGGGGACTTGTGAGCGGACAGTTGTGGACGACGGTTGTGTGCTTGTCGACAGAAAGAGACAGGACAACAGTTTAACGACGAGGTAACGGTTAGGTTAGTGACGGTTAGGTACAAATAGGATATTCGTATTTAGTGTCTGTGATAGGCCGTATTTGTATTTATTGTTGTCGGCTAGATGGTAGAGATAGTTATGTTCTTTGTGTTGTAGATATTACAGGTAGTATTTGTTTAAGCAGTTAATCATAGGTGACGCGCCTGGTAATGGCGATTACACTGCCTGGGCGCGCTTAGGCCATACACTTCTCGTGTATCGCTGAAGTCCCGTTTGGCAATCGACGGCGGATTGATTGACACTGAGACACTGTTAGCTAAGAGTCGTGCTCCCCTAGATCCATGGGAGCTGACCTGGGGTGATTAGTGAGTGTAAAGCTGTCATCGCCAAGGCAGCTTCGGATGGGAGCTGCTTAGCCCAGTTGAAGTGTTATACGTCTTATGTTCATTGTACATTAAAGATTATGGTTGTACTCAGCCGGAGTGTCGCCTTAAGTGTGTTTGGGTAGTAGAGTCTGTCAGCTGGCCTTCCTAGCGAGCCATATAAAATAAATAGAGTAGTTTAGGTCCCTGACAATAACCAAATGCTTTTAAAAAAAAAAATGCGTAACAGAACCTGATTTACATATGCAAAGAACACAGCTCTTCTGATCTGGCAACTGATGTGTTGGTGTTATCTTTCTCGTAGAGTAAATGAGGCAGGGTATGCTTGACAAGGATCCCTGCTGCATGAGTAAAACATGGTCTGTACAATACTGCCTAGGCTTTGTGCTATGAAGAGGAGAACATCCCTCACCTTAATTGCCCATTGCCACAAACTGATTCCAATGATTCCCTACAGCATTATTAGGTTAGTTGTGCAACCTTTACAGAACGTTGCAGAACCAACCCCAACAGCCCCGGGCTGTTGTGTGGTTTTTCTAGGCAATTTACCCCCAGTAGTGTGCCATTGCTTTCTGGGCGGTCGGCTTTCTTGATACCACTGTCGAAACCAACGCAAGGCCCCTACAGCCTACAATAACATTATTGTCTTGAAAGACAGAAGGATGCTGACAAACAACTTCACATATTAAGTTCATTGAGCAAATATGGGGCTGGCTCATTTCTTGCAGACTAGTCAGCATTTAATCGGTCCTGTCGCTATGCTGCTGCCTTAATTTCCCAGGGCATTTTCTGTTAAGCATTAAGGCTAAGTTAACCTGGAAACCCAAGCCAATATGAAAAAAAAAAACTTAATGCAAATTTGAGATGTGACCACCAAGATGGAAGGTAAGTGTGCTTTCAGGGTTTTTTCTTGTGTTCATCTGCAGTAAATTTTGGTTGTTTGTCCACTTCTAGACTTTGGTCTTCTTCCTGAATGTGAATTTTTTGTGCACATGTTTTACAGATCTCCCTTTTTTTGTATGCAGACAGTTGGTTCCTTGCCAGACAGTTACACTCCAATTTTGAAGAAAGCCCCTAATTAGTGAAGACATGGGCCTATTCTCGTTTTTGCCATAATGGTGCCCCAGAACCCATTACGGGAACTCACACAGTATAACAGGCAGTGGTTTTGGTCAACTACATCATTTTCAAAGTGTGATACTTGTATACATTTTAGTTTTTTTTAGCACATTTATTCAACTCTCTTGGCTGCAAAAAGTTTTTTTTTATTTACACTGTTCCGTGAAATGATGCATCTGCAACCCCCTAGATACAAAGTCAATCATGGCTTGGTAGGGCAGAGGACGATATCATACAAGTCTACAGTTTTACAGACATCAACCTCGGCAAAGAATGGATACTTGTGCCCACAAAAGCTTAACTGCACCTTTTCCTGTGTTGTCACGCTTGATAAGATCTGTCGAGAGCAGAATCCAATTACTGTATTGTACGCAGAAAGTAGATCAAGTCATTGCAAAACTCCACTGTGCATTTTGCTAGCAGCACATCCACGTCTTTGCGAAGAGCGTGAGAATTGGGAGTAAAGATTGTCACAGCCAGGCATGAGAAGCACACCAGATGCACGAGAAGTCTTGTCAACCAACATAGAACTGGGACCATCAACCGTGGGGTGCTGGTGTATATATTGAAGGGGAAATCTGAGTACCCATGAATGTGCCCGGAGTGCCATGAGGATAACCCAAATCATAACTCATAACACAAAGTGAATACCTTGCTTTTTACCGACTTTTGTTTTATGCTTGTCCTTATCAAGATAGATATTTGTGTCACCTATTGCTTTTACGGATTGCCCCTCAATAATCAGATCATTAATAATAGGGTTCATGCAGACTTGTGGCATGGATTTAGGAGCATGTTAAAATTATAATTTTTTATTTAAAGTATAATTCTGAGGAGCTGTTCGATTCAGCTGAACCCAAATTTTGTTTAAAAAAATTTTTTTTTTAGCTGGCGAACATCAAAATTTCACTTGCTTTGTAATTTTCACTCTTTGATGGACTGTACAGGAAGAAATTTTTCTGTTGACATATATAACCATACAAAATCTGATATTTTGACAAATCCGGCAATCCTCACGTCTGCAGGCTGGCAGATGTTTTAATGTCAGCCTGTAGTTTAGCATATCCCTTTTCATTACATCATTTTTGTTTATGATTCTGTTCAATATTTGGCACTTTAAATTAAGACTGTTATCGTGCCAGGGTGTGTAGCATTTTAAATGAATAAATTTCTCATTGACTCACCTATAGTTTTGATGAGAAACCTTAACTCCTTACCTGTTTGCATTGTTCAACTTGTCTGCCAACACCTGCCAGACCTGCTCATTCTGACTACAGTGTGTGTAGTCTATGTAGTCAAAGAGAAGTGCCACAGCCCCAGGGTCATTTTTCTCTGTCGGAGCAAGAGGCGGACACAATACAGTAATGGCTGACTTAAAACTAAAGTTAAGGTATTTCTACATCAGACTTGTGTATCTCTAGCAGTTGATCACATTAAAGATAAAGACATTCTTAAAATTGTATTTTCTCATTGACTCATTTACCTTAAACAACAGGATCATATCACAAGACATCTCACAAAACAGTAAACACATTCTATGTGGGGCGGCGGTGTGCGACAAACCTCGCTTGTCACTCTGTCGTGGAGGTAGGTGGCCAATTTGCTACCGCAGCGACAACACCGTAAGGACCAAATCTCATCAGTACCTGTTTAATCACCTTCGTCTCATCCATACATGTCTGATTAAGCACAGCAGGAGATACTGGAGCCTGGCGTCATGACTCAGGTTGGCCCACCTTCCAAGATTGTTTAGGATGGAAATGGGCTGAAATAAGTGTTGACAGAGGTTCTTCTACCAATGACGGGTAGACTCCTACTGTGTATGCTCTCCTGTGGAGTTTTCTCTTCTACCAATGACTGGTAGATTCCTACTGTGTATGCTCTCCTGTGGAGTTTTCTCTTCTACCAATGACCGGTAGACTCCTACTGTGTATGCTCTCCTGTGGAGTTTTCTACTCCTACTCCTGTTTGCTGTGTATCTCTCCTGTGGAGTTTTCTCTTCTACCAATGACCGGTAGACTCCTACTGTGTATGCTCTCCTGTGGAGTTTTCTCTTCTACCAATGACCGGTAGACTCCTACTGTGAATGCTCTCCTGTGGAGTTTTCTCTTCTACCAATGACCGGTAGACTCCTACTGTGAATGCTCTCCTGTGGAGTTTTCTCTTCTACCAATGGCTCCTACTGTGTATGCTCTCCTGTGGAGACTCCTACTGTGAATGCTCTCCTGTGGAGTTTTCTCTTCTACCAATGACCGGTAGACTCCTACTGTGAATGCTCTCCTGTGGAGTTTTCTCTTCTACCAATGACCGGTAGATTCCTACTGTGTATGCTCTCCTGTGGAGTTTTCTTATTATTATGGTGTTCTCCCACTGACTCACTGAAAGTAAAGACATTACAGAAGTGGTTTTCTTATTGGCCTATATAGCTCAGATAAAAGATTCTTGCTGTTTGGAAGATTAAATGAACACTTACCTTTAAGATGATACAGAGTTAGACACAGAGGATTGCAAGGATCCAGGTGAATAATATCCTGGAGAAAAACAACACAGACATATGTTGAGTGTTTTTTATACACATGCATACATATGAGGGACCTCTAACAGAGACAAGTACACACACAAAATAGAACCCAGAGTTTCTTTTTTATTTATAATAATTTTTTCTTTACTGCTGCCTCATATTTCATTCAGTGCCTTTTTAGTCTGTCCCAGCTCTCACCCACACCTAGGGTTTAGTAGTGCCCCCTGAATTACCGACTTTCTACCTCACCGGGATATCACACAAGCGATAAAAACCCGATGACACAATGTGCCACCATGTGGATGAGGATCACAGTGGAGAGGTCCCAGAAACCACGTTCAGCCATTAGGCCATATTGCGGCCCCTGGCATGAGCCAGAGTAGAGCTTCAAATAACGAATAATTCCGTCGTAAAAAGGACGGCAAGATAAACGAACACTAATCAGTGCTCCCTTTGGGAAACACCAAGCTAGACACCTGCATGCGGATCTGAACGTTGTGGTTGTGGTGAATTTAGAATCGACATCACAGCACTCCGGACACTCTCATAGGCGCTCAGATCCCATCTTCAGGAGCAAGTGAAGATTTCTAATTCCAATGGTACCAGTAACGAGCTGATTGTATATCCGTCTCATTCTTCCCCTGAGTGTTCAACGTCGGCCAGATCCCCTGGTAACTCTTCGCAGCGCCATTCTCCTTAGACTGTAATGATCAATCTGCCCCTCTGCAGTGTTTGATTCTTTACAAACATTACCTTGGTTCCCAGGTCGACCCAACCTCACATGGGGTACCAGGACAAGTCCTCGGAAATAAAGCCAGCATGATGTAAACCCCATCACCCATCGAGAGCTGACAGGTCCACAAAGTACGAGTCGAGCCTCATGTGCCACAAACCGGTACATTGCAACAAAATTTACTACTTAAGTCTCATGTGCCACAAACCGGTACATTGCAACAAATTTATAAGTCTCATGTGCCACAAACCGGTCATGTTGCAACAAATTTACTATTTAAATGAAACATGCTACCACAAACAAACACAATAACCAATTTTCTAAAATATGCTGCCACCAACCTGCAAACATTGTAGCAAAACAAACTCATCTCCGCCGCTCCTAGATTCAAACTCATACAGGTAACGATGGGCATTAGGATTGCCAGGGTTCCTCTCTCTGTAAGATACTAGAATACTCCGAGCAGTTTCTACTTTTCCATAGTATTCATGAATCTGCAAAGCATCACAACAATATTAGACAAATCATGCACACGTTCAACTGTTATCAGCAAGCATTTGCAAAAAAAGCACCACCCGTGAACTAGGAAACAAAAATGGCCGCAAAACAAGAAGAAACAAAAATGACCGCAAAACAAGAAGAAACAAAAATGACCGCAAAATACGGAGACTGCAATGTCAACAGAAACTGACCAAGAAAGCTAACCCAGGCAACAAATATCTGCAGAAGTTGCAGGTGCCGACCGAAGATTCAGAACTGTAGCTGTATTGTAAATGGGCACAGTATACTTACACCTCTGGATAAACACAGAAGAAAAATAATTTGTTTTAAAACGATCCACCTCAAAATGCTGATCTGAAACCAAGATTTCAGGCCGGCAAGCAAAGATCTAGCCACTACACTACAGCGGCTTCTTGTTATGTTGATAACAGAACCATTTGGCTTTGGCCGGCATAAGTATCCTCAGCAGGGGTGCTGACATAAAGAAAATTTTGGGCTATCTTAGCTCCCTTTGGCAAAAAAACATAATCAATCTGAAATACTATACATATAAATGAAAACAAATGGATAACTTAGGTACATGGTGGAAGGGGGAAGCTCAGCCCCTTTACAATGTAGGCTAGGTGCCCTCAAGTTGCCACTGTCCCCAGGTTCCAGCCCCTGATCTTGAGTTACACTTAACACAATGTTGCGCGCCTATCGTTGATCACTCGTGGGTTGCTGAAAAGTCTGACACCCTAAGATTAGAAGATCTCAATCTGGATTACAGACCAACAGGACCCGACGGGTTGACCATTAGGATTTAATAAGTCTCAGTTCTGATGGCAGAACCACCAGGGCAAGAGACCTCGGTCAATCTCTACAAGGCAAGCCCAAAGACTTCAGTCAATCTCTACAGGGCAAGCCCAAATACTTCAGTCAATCTCTACAGGACAAGCCCAGAGACTTCAGTCAATCTCTACAGGACAAGCCCAGAGACCTTGGTCAATCTCTACAGGGCAAGCCCAGAGACTTCAGTCAATCTCTACAGGGCAAGCCCAGAGACTTTAGTCAATCTCTACAGGACAAGCCCAGAGACTTTAGTCAATCTCTACAGGGCAAGCCCAGAGACCTTAGTCAATCTCTACAGGGCAAGCCCAGAGACCTCAGTCAATCTCTACAGGGCAAGCCCAGAGACTTCAGTCAATCTCTACAGGACAAGCCCAGAGACTTCAGTCAATCTCTACAGGGCAAGCCCAGAGACCTCAGTCAATCTCTACAGGGCAAGCCCAGAGACCTCAGTCAATCTCTACAGGGCAAGCCCAGAGACCTCAGTCAATCTCTACAGGGCAAGCCCAGAGACTTCAGTCAATCTCTACAGGACAAGCCCAGAGACCTTAGTCAATCTGTACAGGGCAAGCCCAAATACCTCAGTCAATCTCTACAGGGCAAGCCCAAAGACCTCAGTCAATCTCTACAGGACAAGCCCAGAGACCTTAGTCAATCTCTACAGGGCAAGCCCAAAGACCTCAGTCAATATCTACAGGGCAAGCCCAGAGACCTTAGTCAATCTCCACAAGACAAGCCCAGAGACCTCAGTCGATCTCTACAGGGAAAGCCCATAGACCTTAGTCGATCTCTACAAGACAAGCCCAGAGACCTTAGTCAATCTCTACAGGGCAAGCCCAGTGACCTTAGTCAATCTCCAAGTAAGTTACAATTAGGGCACCCCATAATGGCTTCCACCAGCTTGGTGTAACCTGCAGTCCTGTGTGGGTAAGGGTAAATGAGGTTTAATAAAACATGTCATAATAACCCTTGGTTACAGAGTGACCTCCAAAACACAAAAGAACTTACTTCTACAAGGCGAGTTATAAATATATCCCAAACACCAGGAACATCCTTCACTGTACTCAAGTACTCCAGAGCACTTTCAGCAACAGCCTTGGCAGTGTCTGTGTTCTTCCCAAGATTCATCCGCCTTGAGATTTCATCTATGAAGAAGCATAAGAAAATGTTTAAAAGTCAAACATTCAGCCTCATTACACCAGGTTTCACCTGGATGGTTCAGTCTTCAGTCATCTACTGAGAGCATTGTAAAAAGCATAATCTCTGCAGCTTCAGAGATGATCCCCAAAATGAACTGCATCTGTTAACCACGCACAAAAAAATGCTTCCCTTTTTCTCTTCCTCCAGTTACCCCATCAAAGTGTGGGTGGGAGGGGGGAATCGCCTGCTTCACTTTGTAATGTACTGTGCACACTGACATTCTATACAATGAAATATGTCCCCCGAATTCCCATATAATTAGATGTACACAATGTGATATATATCTCTAAATTCCCATATAATTAGATGTGCACAATGTGATATGTCCCTAAATTCACATAAAATTAAATGTATACAATGTGATATATATATATCTCTCTCTCTGGGCAGTAAGACTGGAGCCCGTGTGTATTGCTGTGCATGAAAAAAAATAATCTGGCAGTTGGAAATCGAAAAGGTAGCCTAACAGCCCTGCCCGAGCAAAATTTAGAGTTACAAATATACCCAAAGTATTTCAGGATCCTCACCGGTGCAACAGAATTCGTGCACTGTGCTGAGATTCTTCAGGCTCAGGCTTGAGTTAGAAGCAGAAAGGAACACTATTGAGTTACACGATGTGCCATGATGTTGGTCAGCTGAATAAAGCATAAACACAAAACATGCCCCACTTTCATCCAGTCAGATGAATACAACGCGACAGGCCTCTCAATTACCTGCTTGGCTTCCTTCCAAGTACACATCGTCGTTGTCCTGAGACACTTTAAAGATGGCTAACTTCCACTCCGCGTAGCAGGCCAGGCCCTGGTAGGCAAAGAACAGAGTGTGTGCCATCATCCTTTTCTTATTCTTCAAGTTGTTTGCATACTGGGTGTTCTCCTTCAGATCCTATGATTGTTGAAACAGACAATACATTTCATTGCATTTTCATGACACCCAGTGACATATCTATAACATTTGAAAACACATTCAAATCAATGACATTAAGAACACTGTTCTCTCATTTAGAAGACCCAGTAAGAACCCTAGGTAAGGTGATAGATATATTTTTTCTGCACGGGTCAAATTGAAATCTTATGCTGCACAGCTCGTGGCAACTGTACTAGCCATACAGTTCTGAATCCTTAGGCAGCTACGCCCTATATTGCTTTCTAAAGTGCTAAATACAGCAGTAAAAATGACACATTCAAGAACATACAGTGGTAAGGAAGACACATTAAAGAAAATACAATAGTAAAGAAGACACATTCAACATTCGGATAAACATTCTGTGTGTTTTTCGTTGGCACAGAAGCGGAGCAAAGATGGGGTGACCCGTTTGCTATGAAGATGAAACTAAGACTACCAGACACATTCAAAGAAACTACAGCAGTAAACAAACTGAAGAAAATACACAAGTAAAAAAAAGACAGCTCAAGAAAATACAACAGAAAAGAAGACACATTTAAGAAAATACAGCAGCAAACAAACTAAAGAAAATCATCATCATCATGTGCCCTGCCAATCATCGTAGGTGTATTTCAGCAGATCACGATCCCTGGTTGCCTGGAACAGCTCTCTTGATGATATCCCTCCATGCCATCGTTTCAGCCCATCCAGCATCATCTCTCTTGGTCTGCCTCTAACCATCTTTACACTGATCTTTCCAGTTGTCACAATATTTTACAATGCCTCTCTTCTTATTACCTGGCCAAAGAACAGTGTTTGTCTCTTTCTTATTGTTGTATATAGAGATCTACTTTCATTAGCTTCTTTCAAACAATCATTGTTAGTTACTCTGGCCGCCCAAGGCATCCATAACTTCTGAAGTCAGAGTGCATGTGCCTGAAAGACAAAAAACCAAAGGTCTGCACACAACTAAATCTGTAAAACAGATGTGCACATAAACCTTAAGTTCTGGGACAAGACTAGAAGTCTAGAAGTGGGTGAACAACAAGAACTTTCTAGTGGAGTTTACACTGAGTGAACTCTAAGAAGAAGAAGAATAAATACACAATAGTATCATAAGTACTCACACAGTGAACAGTTTTTAGCCAGTGAAAACACAGAAGAAACATTAAAAATTCTCACCTTTATCAGTTGCATAGCATCTGCAGTTTGTGCCTGTGTCAGAATGAACAGCAGGTAGTCCAGCAGAACCTCCACTACAGTCAGTGACCGGAGCACACAGACCTGCCTGAGGAAACATTCAACAAAATCTTAGTTTCATATTCTTCTTCTCTCTTCTTCATGTTCACCAGCTTTAAACTCCGACAGAATGTTTTAGTTGCTTGTCCTCTTCTGGGCTCTAGTCCTGTTCCAGAAACTGAGTGTTGTGTGCACATCCGTTTCACAGCTTTGAATCATATGCATGCAAACTGTTGGCTCTTTGCTTCTCAGGCAGATGTACTCCGACTTTGAAGAAAGCTCCCATTTAGTCAACTCTTATAACATGCTTTTTGGCAGGCAGTGGGTCTATTCTTGTTTTCCCACTGCATTGTGATTTCACAAGCCAAACAGATCTCTGCCAAAGCAGAGATGAGAAGAGCTCCATGCACAAAACATTTTTAACATGAGTGAATGAGTGAATCAGGAAATGACATCATCATGATCAGGCCATGTCCCGTCCCCTTCGTCAGTAACCAACAAAGAGTTCCCATACTGACAGTGGCAGCTGCAGCCTGATTAAAGTCTGCCTTGAGTTCCCCCCCCCCCTTCCCAGCTGAATCCTTCTCTTCGATATAGATTCTTTGTCAGTTCTGTTACACTGTTTACTTGATCTCAGTGACTTTATCAAGTCAGCCTCATTATAAATTAGCTCATCAGCCAGAGAGATGGCAGCTGCTAATCTATCAGCCTGCTCGTTACCACACACTCCAGCATACATAAGCATGATGTATATGTGATTCTGATTTACCCATATTGTGATCCTCATTAATGCTGCGAAGTTTGTGCACTGTACTGTCTCCTGTTGTTAAATCTGACAGGATATTGGCAATCAACAGAAACTATACATGATAAGACACAAAACATGAAAATCTCTTCCAACTCTTCTACTATACATGGTCAACCAGAATGATTGCAAGAATAATAAAATGTTGTTATAAGTATGGCACCTTCAAATGTTCTAAAAAGTTGACAGTTTCCTGTGCTCTTATGTGACTGTAAGGTTGAAAAGAAAATGAGAAGATAATGAACCTTAAAGAGAGGTTCACTAAGGCAACTGTAGTATAACGCTAGACAATGACTCAGAAGATATGGTAGGAGACCGATAGTGTCTACACATCATTAGAGCTACAAATGGCATCAATATCAAAGTCTACTAACGTAAGTCAACAACTTTTAATCATTCTCGATGACTCTTGAATTACTTTAGAGCTACTCATGTGTCTTCCTCATGTTAGGTCTGGTGTCTTAGATGTTTAGTCTTTTTTTGTGCAACTCGCTGATAAAGGTCAAAACATTCAACTCTTCTTCTGTGCCCGACCCCTTACCCATTTCCGGAAGAGTTACCTAATCATTTGTGTTCAGTGAATTCATTTACTAATTGCACAGCAAGTCAAGGAAGTCATTGTGTTACACATCAATATAGCTGTACACAGTATATCAAGAAAGTGTTTGTACAGTAGATTAATATAGTGTTTGTAAAGCTGATCATTATATAGTATTTGTAAAGCAGATTTATGTAGTATTTGTAAAGCAGACTTTTCCACGTCAGGTTTGGAGTGGCATTCTGGTAGTAATAAAGAATAAACCAACTGTCTCTCGAAAAGCCAGTCACAAAAGGCAACTAATAGGAGTTTCCTGAAATCAAAGTCAGTCATAAATACTGCAGCCTAGCTGTAAACACCCAAACACACTTCTCAGGGCAAACCCAGAGGAAGAAGAAGATAACACAGTGCTTGCAAAGCAGATTAACACAGTATCTGTAACGCAGATTAATATTTGTAAAGCTTATTCACGGTGTCAGTAAAGCAGATTAATATAGTATTTGTAAAGCAGATTATATAGCTTTTGTACGGCTGATTACTACAGTGTCTGTAAAGCTAATCATCATAGTGTTTGTTCAGCATACCAAGACAGTGTTCCAAAGCAGATTAATATTGTCTGTTCAGCGTATGAAGATAGTGTCTGTAAAGACAAAAAACAAAAACAATGGGGCCCAATTTTAAATATTAAAGGTTTTTTTCCCCTACAAAATGACAGTGTTAAGGCATCCGGAACCAAAATAGGGCAAAACGGCAATAAATCTGAATTTAAATACTATAAACTACATACTTAACAAACTGCTCCACGAGACGGCCATTTTTCTCACAGTCCTGAAACAAGCAAGCCAAACCAACCTGGAAGAAAAGCAAGGAAATAAATTATATAGTTCATGTAAAACCTGAGCAGCCCACATCTTCTTTTTTTTATCTGTGTTCACCGGCTGTCTGTCTACTCTGGACTTTGGTCTTGTTTCACAACTTGACTTTTGTAAGCACATTCATTTTAAAAATCTGGCTTATGTATATGTAGACTGTTGTTTCATCGCTCTCAGGCAGATGCCCTTTAACTCTGAAGGAAACATCTCTAATTAGTCGCATCCTACATCATGCTTATGGGGGGGGGGGGGGGCAATGGGTCCACTCTTCCCCCCCCCCAAAAATGGAGCCCAGAAGCCACATAATGTTAGCGAGCTGCAGTAATAGTTAGTGCAGTGGCTACCAAGACATACATTCTTACGTGCAGCCTATATGGTCTGATCCACAACCCTAAAAGCTGGCGTATCTTACCATCCCTTTCTTATGTTTATAAAAATTCTATACTATCCATATTACGTCTGCTCAAGATAGTGTCATTTGTAATCCTCTTTTCTTCTTCTCCTACAGCAATCTGGGCCCCTGAGGTTCACTGCTGCAGATATCACCCGCCTCCATTCATTTATGTGACTGGTTTTTTCCTTTTAAATTGTGCTTCCAAACATTTGTAGGTTTTATTCAATATTATTATCATCTTCTTGGTCTGCCCCCATCCAACCTCTTTCTATATAGTTCTCATCTCTCTGTTATTCTCTCTATAGATGCTCCTGCCACTGCAGTCTCTTAGCCCTCAAGATGGCAGTAGTTACCGGTGATTTAAACAGATTATCAATTTCCTTGTTGCTTCTCACTCTCCATTCTTTGCTTTCTTTGCTTCACTATTATTTGTACTGTGGACATCTAGTCAGTACCAATATGTTTGGGATTAAAACATGCCTGCTCATAACCTAATTGTTTATGGGTTCAAAGATTCATCGTAAGACTATTCTTAAAAATTTGCAATAAGGCTTCGTTTCTTCTAGATGTATTCCAGGTCTTCGAAGGAGTTGGCTCAGTTAAAGTTGGTACCAAAATACTTGCATGTTACAGTTCTTTGGATTTTTTTAAAATCTATCTCTATATGTCCTGATATTTTATACTTTCCCTCTAATGTGATTTCCATGAATTTTATGTTATCTTGAGTGTAACTAGAGTGATCCACTCTGCTCTCAGTAATACTGGGATGATTCAATAATCAACACTTATGCTAAAACAATTTTTCACATGACTAGCTGTACTAGTATCCTAGAATTGCTATTTGTTGGTGATGGAAGGAGTCATTTATAAGAATCTGGCTATCCACACACCATATTAATGCATGAGGTACTTGACCAGACTAAATGCATACCAGTGACCGACTATTTTGAATTTTCTGAATGTCAGGAACAGAAACAGCTATGTGCACAAACAAATGGCAGTACATGCAAACTACAAAGCTCACAGTGTTGCACCAAACAATTAACTCATTAGCTAGGCAATGACATTGTGGACCAGTCTATATGTGAGAACTGTATTAGCAAACTGCAGCCTGAAGCAAACAAAAACACTTCACAGGCTTAAAGGGCTGCCTGCCTATCTGCCATACTTGGCTAGAATTCCATTCAAAGGATTAATTTAATTACTATCATGAAAGCCAGAGTACCTAATGATGAATGCCTAGAAGCAGCCAATAAAAGCAGAACATTTCTGGACTATCAGAAAGAAACAAAACTTATCTTTGATTCTGTGATGAAAAGAGAACAGCATGAGAACACTGTTACTAGACAAATCAAATCAGTAGTAGAAGAACAAACTTTATGAACAAACTTTATTTTCAAAGGGTTACAAATTGGGCACGCAGTCCCGTCTGACATTCGGCCCTTCTAAGCACTCATTTTTCAGAGTACCAATGTCTGTTATCAATAATGCATGTTATAGATATAATAAAGAAATATAAATAATAGAATAATGTATACACACATCATGTGTACACAATAGTACACATTCACACACATGTATACATACGTCCTGTTTTCATACATGCACACTCATATACAGACACATGTAATACATATACACATGCATCCACATACATACACAAACTTAAAATATACACATGCATCTACAAACATACACAAACTTAAAACACATACATAGACATAAATGCATAAACAGAAAACACACACAAGAGGCTCAAGCAGGTAGACAGAAATTAGGACAGTTTAAGATGAAGGCAGGGGTGTCACAAACAAAACTGATCCAAAGCATTAAGGACTGTGACGTCGCAGCAGTCCTGAGGTAAGTCATCTGCCCGCCAGTCAACCTGAAGGTACTGACAGAAATTATTGACATAAATTTTTTAACTGACCTTGGCGGTCACAGGAAATGCTCTCAGAAGTAAAGCAGGCCGGTGTCCACATCGCACACCTAGTGCCAAATGGTCTGCAAAAATGGTCACCCAGGATTATATACCGACTGTGCTACTGGCGCACTTTACCTTGCTTATTAAAGACAGATCTCTGGAGAGACATAAACATTTGTGCCACCTGGCAAGGTCCACTAAAGACGGTGCTCAAAACAGGCTTGCTTACCTTCCAGATTGCACAATCGACACCCGTGACCTCATAACAGAGACTCTGTATCAGGTTGAGAGCTTCGGGCCACTGATGGGATAGGACACATTCACGTATCAGTTGCAGAAACCTGGACAAGATGGTGCTAAAGTTGTACTTGGTCCCTTGTTGATGCCTCAAGCGGTAATAATCTGTCATCAAAACAACAATAAATACAGTTCTGAAAACTTTAAAGAAAAAGTAAAGATTTTGTTTCTGATAAATTATGAAATAATCTGTCATCAAAACAACAATAAATACAGTTCTGAAAACTTTAAAGAAACTAAAGTTAGGATTTTGTTTCTGATAAATTATGTTAAATCACCAGGCAGAACTGGAAAAAAAACCCATAATTATGGGGAGAGGAAGGTCTGTATGGCAGGAAATTTCCCCAGAAAAGTTCTAGTTTATAGCAGCCAATATCAGAGTTCTAGTTTATAACAGCCAATGTCAGAGTTCTAGTTTATAGCGGCCAATGTCAGAGTTATAGTTTATAGCGGCCAATGTCAGAGTTGTAGTTTATAGCAGCCAATGTCAGAGTTGTAGTTTATAGCGGCCAATGTCAGAGTTGTAGTTTATAGCGGCCAATGTCAGAGTTCTAGTTTATAGCGGCCAATGTCAGAGTTCTAGTTTATAGCGGCCAATGTCAGAGTTCTAGTTTATAGCGGCCAATGTCAGAGTTCTAGTTTATAGCGGCCAATGTCAGAGTTCCAGTTTATAGCAGCCAATGTCAGAGTTCCAGTTTATAGCGGCCAATGTCAGAGTTGTAGTTTATAGCAGCCAATGTCAGAGTTCTAGTTTATAGCGACCAATGTCAGAGTTGTAGTTTATAGCGACCAATGTCAGAGTTCTAGTTTATAGCGGCCAATGTCAGAGTTCTAGTTTATAGCGGCCAATGTCAGAGTTCTAGTTTATAGTGGCTAATGTCAGAGTTCTAGTTTATAGCAGCCAATGTCAGAGTTCTAGTTTATAGCAGCCAATGTCAGAGTACAAACAAATTAAAATAATAATACCATGAGCAAAAGATTTGATCTAATTCAAGAACCGACATCACAACACTCAGGGCATTTCCATAAGCGCCCTGTCTCCATCTTCAGCAGCCAGTGCATCCAATGCTAATGGTGCCAGCAGCATTCTGGCAAACTTTGGCAAACACTGACTTAGACTAATGAATTAAAATAACAACTTCATGTGATAACAGAAGAACCAGAAATTTACATTGTCTTCTGGGCCAATGAACAAATGTTTGACAAGTTGCATAATACTGAAAGCGTTAATCCTTTCAACGTGGTGACCTGGAAAATATAAAGACCAAGTACCTCTCTTTTAAAGACAAGAATGACCAGAAATTTATACACCCCATTCTTGAAAAAAAAAATCCATTTACATATCACCATGAAAGAAAGAAAAGTCACTTAAAATCGATTAAAAATTTATTTTTAAAATTCCATACAGATTAAGGGGAGTAATCAATGAAAACAAATCCTACATCCCATCAACTGGCTTGTCTCTCCCAGTCTCAAAACTAAATATAGCATGATAATTACTTGACCCTGTGACCTGGTCACTGCTATGGTTTATCAATAAAGAAAATTTTTTTTTACAAGGAAACCACCCTAAATGATTTTGTTGTTGTTGTTGAAAACGTAATAATTCATGGCCATGCTAAATATATGTGCAGATACAAACAGAACCAATTCTGTTAGCTAATTTTCTCATAAACAAAATCACTACAGCCACCCAGGAAAGCGACTCTTATACAGACATGGGACCATTTGGATGTGCGGCTTCTTAGGCTAAAGGGTTAAGAAGTCTGTTGTGTGCTATGTATGCTTTGGGTTGTTTTAAGCTCTATCCTTGGTTCATCTGTGCAGCAGTGTTGTAGATCCCTGGGGGTCACTGCTGAAGCGAGTTGCACGCTTTATTTGACACATATTACAAATGTCACTCAAAAAATGAGCATACTTTTGTTAAACATCCCCCCTCCCCCCACTAGAAGCATGTCTTACAGAAACTGACTAATTAGGTGTGTTTTCTCAGAAGTTTGAGTGCATCAGTCTGAGAGGCTATTAGTCTCCATGTATACAAGCCTAATCGGTATCATGGATGTTCTTGCAAAACTCAAGTTCTGGAACAAGGGCAGAGACTAAAAGTGGGTCAACATTCAGAAATCTTCTGTTGGAGTTTACAGCCGGTGAAGACTGAGAAGCAGAATAAACACACAATGGTATCATAGGTAGTCAGACAACAGGAACAAGGTGAAAATCTTCTTCTTCTTCGCGTTCAACGCTGTAAACTCTGGGGAAAAGTTCTGGTTTTTCATCCACTTCTGGACTACACTCCTCTTCCAGAACCTGAGTGCTACTTGTGCATTTGTTTTAAAGATCTGACACATTTGTATGCAGACTGTTGATTCCTTGCCTCTCAGGCAGATGCGCTCTGACTTTGAAGGAAGCTCCCAATTAGCTGACTTACAACATGCTTTTGGGTAAGCAGTGGGTCTATTCTTGTTTTCCCTATAATAGGGCCCCGGAACCCACTCGGGTGAAAGTGAAAATAAATCAAAATAAGATATTTCATTACCTCTTTCAGCCCAAATAGTGGTTGCTTTCATACGTTTCTGTGTGCACCTTACAGTAACAGCCCTACACAAAACACAGTTAGAGTAAATTTAAGACTCCTCCAGCAACACTCTGCATAGTCTCCACTGTTCCAGCAGCTTCACTATAAAAATAAGTTATTTTGTTATTCTATCACTGCCTGTTTGTATGTTACACTGATGAAGGCTTTCTGGCCGCAGCGTTCATTTTGTCCTTCATGACTGTGACATATTGTGAAGCTTACTAGTTCTTCTTCTCAGCTAGACAATTTTAAAAGTAATAATCAGGAGAGAATGGGTGAAAGTAATAGAAAAATGTGGCAGAATGAGTTATGATATAAATAACAGGTATCATCATGTAGAATACCCTTTACAGAAGGCTGCTCTAATCATAGCTTGCCTGTATGAAATTCAGTCTCTGGCCAGCTGCCCTGCCTCTTTTACTTTCTTATCCATGGTGTCTCACACATCCTGTGTGCATCAAGGAGCTGTTCACCCCCTGCCCCTCCTTCCCAGAACCCCAACTTCGCTACTGTTATTTTCAGACCACTGTAGCGCTCAATGTGTTTTTTTTTTAAATTTAGTTTTTGAGACAAGGTGTTCTTATTGAGCCAGTTTTCCTCGATGCTAAGTTCTTTTAGTCGATATTTCTTTTCCTCTTAGCCATGGCATTCTAAGAATCTAAAGCATTTCCACTCAAAAGCTCCCATTTTCCCCCTTAATACTGCAAAACAGTCCACAGCTAACATAAACATATTTATAAATTAATAAACATATTGTGTTTTCCTTGGTAGTGAAAGAGTTAATAAAACTAAGACTTTACCTGCCTGCTTTTTACAGCATATTTCAAAATACTCCAAACGCTTCATAAGTTCATTTCTTTCCTCTGTTTCTGCCTCTGACAATGATGACACACTTGGGTCTAATAAAAGAAACAGAGACCTCTGAAACAAATTAAACAACGGTAAATATTACTAAAATGTAATTTACAACATACTTTTCAAAATATTAAGGCTGTGTGGCTTAGTTTATAATTTCTTCTCTACATTTACTGGGGGTTTAAATCCCACTGTGGTGGTTTAGTAAAAAGACCGTTCTGATGGTTTTTGGATTGTGGTACAAGAGACAAACAGAGGAAGAGTTTGGGGCCTCACTGCATAAAAATTCCACTATGTTCATGACAACAAGACTTAACAGATAAAAAAAATTATTTATGAAACATTTCAATAAATGCACATTATACATATTTAACTGCCACTGCATCAATAATGTACAACTCACAGAGCAGTTTGCTGTCACTACTGCAGCTGTACGGCACTAAATGATTTAAGATTTGGGTTAAAAGACATTTTTTGTAAAGTCTGCTAGTTGAAACTTTGGAAATACATGTTGTAATAAATGTTTACTTACATTTTATAAGAATTAACATTGTCTGGGGATGCATAATATATAAAAATATACTAAACCACCACAGTTTGTTACAACCCCCGGCATCGTTTACTGCTATTAGTATTCAACTGGTTAGTGCAGCCACGCTCGCACCATATGATTTAAGAATTCAGTGAAGAAACATTTTTCACTCAATGACCTAATATAGACTTTCTAAATACATTTTAAAATGATCGCAGTGTTTAATTTTGTAGGAATTAACATTGTTTGGAATGCGTAATGCCAAACATGCATTACAACATTTTAATTTTGCGTTGCCATTGCAACAAGCTGTGGCCTTATTTTACCACCATTGTATTAATATGCTATAGCATATGATAGTGGAATTATTTGTTCAGAACATTTTCATAAAAATAGGATAATAAGGGCAAAAGGCTATACTATAAGAGAAACAAACGAACAAAAAGAAGAACACAGGAAATGTTGCTAAACTAGAGGAATAAAGACATGTGAGCTACTTTTTGGGCATTCCTGGCTACTAACAATTCTATGTTTATTCAGATGGACCAGACCTTGTTGAACTGAACACAAAAGTAGATGGTTTCTGTGCTCTTTTTAAAATACTTTTCAAGTTAGAGCAGTTTTAAACACTTCTCAAAGACTTCTAATTTCTGGGCAACAAGTTTAAACTGGCTTTCATTTTTATTCTTTATTCATTTTTTTCCACAAAAACTTCTAGAATTGACACAGTACAGATATGAATGAGGTACCGTTGGAAAGAGCAAAAAATTATTCTGAAAATTTTACTAAAATGTCTAGGTTGATAAATACAAAATTTGACCAAGCTGACTGTGTGTGCAGTGAAGATGATCGCTGGACAGATGATATTACCTCGCTGCGGGGACATCTGGGGTTTTGTTTGTTGTTTTGCGGATCTGTATGCTATAATGACCGATAAATTTCTCTGGTTAGGGGTAGGGTTAGGGGTAGGATTAGGGTTAGAGTTAGGGTTAGGTTTAGCGTTAGATGTGACAATTTTGACGCAGGAGTTATCTATACTCGCGCACAGTCACATACACACCCAAACAGTCGACGGACTGTGGATGCTACTGAAACGGACAAGTCGCCACCGATTGGGCACCAGCCGCGCGCTCTAGCCGTCATAGTTGGCAGAAATCCAGTGGCGCCACTCCCACAAGCATCAGATTGTCGGCCAGTATTTGGAACTCCTACGTCAAATTTTCACATCTAACCCTACCCCTACCGCTAACCCTACGCGCAACCGTATGTTGATAGACAACGTACGCAACCCTACACGTAACCGAATGATGACTACACAACCCTTCACGCAACCATATGATGACTACGCAACCGTACGCAACCCTACACGCAACCGTATTATGATAGGTAAGTATGTCATTTGATTCGTGACTTTTCCGCTCCTTGTTTGCAATGCGGCCAAGGGAGAGAACTCCCACTAAGCCGAACTAAGCCGTCGAGCTACCGTCCGAAGTTGAAAGGAGAGCCAAACAATGATTATGGTCTAATTATATTTGTACGGTACCAAGTTAAATAGTTTAATTATTTGTTTCGATTTTGACAGTAGTTATGGCTTTATTGTTTCTAACTGTATGATGTAGTCCTTTCTGATCATAGTCCCCTGTCCTCACACTATGTGACAGTGACCGTCGCCAAAATCCAAACATAAACATCGAACGTTAGTAAACAGTAGTATTAGTATTAGTAAACACCAAAAAAAAAAACAGATTATTTTAATTTTATCTTTTAAATGTATCGTTAGACTATCAAGATACTCACCAGCTTGTCTATCATATTAGTCTGCGCGCTGGTTGACGCCATAACAAAATAAGGAAATAGAGCTGTCTGTCCTACTAACGTCTTCAAATGTTGAGATCATATAGCAGCCACAATGTGTTTACAGACAACACACTTGCAAGGTTGGAAACTAGAGTTGTCCCCTCATTGTGTAACTCTCCTGTGTTGCAGATAAAACAAAAATTTGCCAAATACTGCCTGTACTGGGAGTCCCCGTGGCGTAGCGGAAAGTCCTTTGATCGCTCCCTGGCGGAGACAAAATTTTTCACAATATTTTGTTGGAAATATGATCACAGAAGTTTCTTCCCGCCTAATCTTTCGGCAAAACTCCAGACAAGACGTCTAATGACATCTTCATTCTGTTGCATATCACCCTACAAGATGCCTTTCTGAGTACGGACAATAATTTTATGCCTCTCCAGTTGTTGCAGTGTGAGAGATCACCTTTCTTCAATAGTGGGATGATTGCACCATTTTTCAAGTCTGTTGGGACCACTTCATCTATCCATATTTTGTTGAATATTCAATTTAATGCTTTTGCTGCAAATTGTGGGTCTGCCTTTAACATGTCAGCATTACCTCGGTCTTCACCCGGTGCCTTCCCATTCTTCATACTGCTTATTGCCGTTTCTTTAACGGTGATTGGCCCAATATCCATTTCTAGGAGTTGGCCACAGTTTTCTAATGTTTCCACTGGGATATCTGATGCTGGCCTATTTAGCAACTAGGTAAAATATTCCTGCCATCTGTGTGTATCCGTGTGTGTCTATTTTATAATGTCAGCTTGTGCCTTTGTGTGTGTTAGTGTGTGTCTGTTTCTGTGTGTGTATGTGTCTGTGCGGGTGTGTCAGTGTGTGTGTCTGTGCGTGAGTCTGTATGCGTGGCGGTGGGTGTCTGTGTCTGTCTGTCTGTCTGTCTGTGTGGGTGGGTGGATGGATGTATGTATGTATGTATGTATGTATGTATGTATGTATGTATGTATGTATGTATGTATGTATGTATGTATGTATGTATGTATGTATGTATGTATGTATGTATGTATGTATGTATGTATGTATGTATGTATGTATGTATGTATGTATGTTTGTGTGTATGTGTGTGTGGCTACGTGTTTGCCTGTGTGTGTCTGTGCCTGTGTGTGTCTGTGCCTGTGTGTGTCTGTGTGTGTGGCTTCTTGTGTATCTATGTGTGTCTCTGCAAGTGTCTCTTGGAAAATAATTTGTGACCCTTTGAAAATTAAAGTTCGTTCGTTCGTTCAACCGTTGCTCTTTCTGTGGTAATTATTTCTCCTGTTGTGTCTCTCAGGTTTCCTTTATTTAAGCTAATATGTTTTCTGACTAAGATCCTTTGTTATTTTATACATTGTTCTAGTATCACTTGTCACTGCTGCTACTTCCGCTTTGGCAGGCTTTGAGTTCCAAGTATTCCTTTTTGTCTTTCCTTTGCTGTATTTCTTTATGTTTGGTGTTACATTCCTTCTGTGTGGCCATCTTTTCCAGTGTGCTCTTTGCAAGGTTTACATGTTCTTTTTACATTTTTTCTCTCTTCTATCTTTGACCAAGATTCTTTAGATACCGGTTCCTCTCTCACATGTTTCTTTATACCGAGTATTTTCCGTGCTGCATTGCAATACTCATCTTTAGACTGTTCATTCCTCTTCAATATTTTCTGTCTCTGACAGGGGATTAAACATCTCAAACTGGTTTCTTAGTTCGACGCAGAAATCATCTCTGACTTTTAACGTCCTGAACTGGGCTGAATCAAATAATGGCATGCAGTCTTTTTCTTGCTTCTTCTTTATTAAAGTTTCAATTAAAGTTTCAAAATGATGTAGTCACGCCCGACGTCAGGTTTCCTTCTAGCAAATAATCTTGTATCGAGGTCCTCCACTTTTTATTGTACAGTATGTGGTCAGTTTGATTCCTCGTGTTGCCATTAGATGACGTCCATTTATACCTGTATATATGTTCATGCATAAAGACTGTTTCACCAATGACTTGACTTTAGTGGAGACAGAAATCGGTCAGCCTTTCTTCATTACTGTTCCTCTCTCCAAGCCCGAGTTTCCACATGATGGATTGAAGTCCTATGTTATCCATTCCCACTTTCGCGTTCAAGACCCCCATAACTATAAGTAGGTCATATTTGGGGACTTCCTTTATAAGTTCATCTAACTGGGTATAACACTCATCTTTTTTCTCATCACTTCCATCATTTGTTGGTGCATAGCCTTGCAGGACTGTAAGTTTCGTGAATCTGGACTCAAGTGTGCTGTTATAAGCTAAATACTACCAGGCCTGAACTGACTGTTTTAATACCTCCTCCCCATTTTTCCAGCATTACATGCACCATTAGGATCAAGATCTCATGGATACAGGCGCTGGAAACTGGGGCGCTTTGTCGCGCGCCCACGTGGGTAAATACACTGATATAGTGAGGGTGTGGGTTTGAACCTTAACAATGCCCACCCACGTGAGAAACTGGACTATTATCTAAGCTATGTTGATCCTAGACAGTCCTGGATAGCCAAGAAAACAGCGAGTGGCTCGTTCCATGAAATGAAAGTTGCTGTACTTGTATCCACAGGAGTAGGAGAAGGGATAGATAGATTATCTGGATACACCCACTGTGATATAATCCAGGTGCTCATTTAACCCCTCGACTGCTTCTCCTCTCCTGGCATTACTTAAAAGCCCCCATCAAGTGATTTAAGTATTTGTTAGCTGAAGTAAACTAATATGCACAAAGACACTTGAACCTAAGTACACAATTTACTCAACTATGTTGTAACAACATCAAAAAGATTTATTTAATAAATCTGACTAAAATAAAATGAACTTGTTTAGGCTAGTAGAGTTGGGATGATGTTATAGATGACATTAAAGTTGTACATAACTTAGCCTGTCAGGACAGTTCTCGGCTTGAGACCCTGTCTATTCTTTCCCAGTTTGTCGTCCTCACTGCTTCAAGCAGGTCGTTACACTCAGACGGTCAGCAATGAATGGATGCTTACTAGTCCCTGCCCAATGTGGGAACTGGAGAATGAAGAAACAAGAGCATATTTGTAGTATCTGCTCTAGATGTACACTAAGCATGTATATTATAATAACATCAAGCATGTTTATTTAAATAAAACATTTTATCTCTCCCTCATGCTCACATTCACTCCTGTCCAATTTGGAAGGGCTTATGTCTCACATTCCAACTGTTACATCTTCTGCCTTCCTCTACACGTCCTGTAATGATAGTCAAGTCTTCTACGTCAGGTGCCATCTCTCGTACAGACTCAAAATGACAATCAGTCAGACAGAACCAGTTCTGGAATCTATGCTTGGAACAATCGACGCGCCCAGAAAGCTAACAATATTTCTGAGGCGAATCAAATACCAAATCTCAAGGATTTTCTCTCCGGGAACAATCTCCGCATTTGCCTCCCGAGAGTTAAACACATTTCAGTGTGTTAGCTGTATGTAATACAGATTCACATTACCCCACACGTGACAAGATTGCCAAAGTTATCTTCACGCTTGTGATTTCAAAAACATGATAGTTCATTAAATTTCAATGGTAACATCAACATTTAAGTTTTACATCATTGAAACACATGTGCACGAAAGAACATTTATGACACTATCAAATAGGATATAAAGCAATGTGACAGTGCCCTACGAGAATGAAGAAATGTCCGCCTAGGAGTACTACAAAGTGGTGAAGACACACACTTGAGTAAAAAGACAGTTAGATTTCTATCACAAAATATAGATTTGAACCTAATTTCGATCTTACCTGGAAAATGAAACCACGATGCCAAAAGTTCTGTCTCAAGCTTAGGTTAAGCCCAACAGATGGCATGTGCTGGACAGGATCTCATTTACCAGACCTAGAGTTCACCCCTTTATAACTTTTATCAAGCTCCTCCTACATTACGCCTAAAATCATTCTCATTCAAGGATGTCACAGCTCCTCCCCGTGGGTGTATATTCACTGTCAGTCAGTGACTGTACAACAATTGATTGAATTCCCACGGTCACATTCTACAGGTTCAATTAAGCTGGTCAAAGCTAATAGGCCAAGTCACACCTCCAGTCTACTTCACCTGTCATCACAATAAAATCAGACTTTGTCAATTCTTCTGCCAACACTTTCAGCTCACTGTGTCAATATTGACGATCTGACCGGCACTCCAGTTTAGGTAACCTCAGGGGGAGATAATGGCAATTAGCCCTTGTTATCTGTTCCTGAAGGTCTGGCTAGGAGATAAATATCTGACACTAACAAATGGTGTGCAAATCTCCAGTCAGTAAGTCTGCTTGGTCAGTCTTATCTCTGTACCTTAACACTTAACATCTGGGGAAAAATTTTAGTGTTTGATATGACCAACGGTCCGGGAGAATTAAAGGCTTGATGTGGTCGTCTTACTTAGATTAAGGATGTATCCAAATCCTTATTTTCCTGTATACTTTCAAAATACAAAGAAATAAAAGTAGGTTGAGGAAAGACTTTCTGAAGTCACCGAGCGGATTGAAGTCCTATGTTATCCATTCCCACTTTCGCGTTCAAGACCCCCATAACTATAAGTAGGTCATATTTGGGGACTTCCTTTATAAGTTCATCTAACTGGGTATAACACTAATCTTTTTTCTCATCACTTTCATCATTTGTTGGTGCATAGCCTTGCAGGACTGTAAGTTTCGTGAATCTGGACTCAAGTGTGCTGTTATAAGCTAAATACTACCAGGCCTGAACTGACTGTTTTAATACCTCCTCCCCATTTTTTCAGCATTACATGCACCCTTAGGATCAAGATCTCATGGACACAAGCGCTGGAAACTGGGGCGCTTAGACCGGCTTCTAAACAAAAAAATTTGGTGCTCACCACAAAGTGTCTATTAAAGTAGGGTTTGGTCGAAAGGGATGAACTATACAGTACTGCGTACCATTGCATACTACCCGAAAAATAAAGCCCTGCTCAGATCCATTGAGAACTGCCGTCCCCACAAAAATTGTATAACCTGGCTAAGCGG